GGCTTCTCCATCCAGATAATGGACTCCGAGTAGCCAACCCTCCTTTTTAAGACTCCTTCATTTGGGGGGTTCAGTGAGGTGAGGTAGAGTTGATGTTGAGGGGAACAGATGTTTCATCAAGCCTTGAGATACTAATGACGAGAACAAACCACACATTGCACTATTTCCAAGTGAAAGTCTTCTTAAAAGACTGTGGCAAGAAGCAAGCCCTGATGTGAAGGATTTTTTAAACAGCTTTTTATATTCTTATCTAAAGCATCTTCAATGAACAGTTTTGTATAATTCACATTTTAGCGCTACCCTACACACTGTATATAGGGTTACAGCATGGGGAGCCTTTGTCATTCTGACTTCCTGACATTGTCACCTGTAGGTATGTATCCTCATATTGAGTATTTGAGGTCTCCCAGGAATGTCTCCACATTTTTCTTGTCTTTCCAAACATCTGGGCAAAAAGAAGACAAACTTTATTTGAAATGTTGATCCCAAGAATTCAGGCCTCTCTGCCATCCCAAAACTAATCCAAGAATCAGCAACTTAATAAAAAATGCAGTAAATTAACACCTCTAGACAAGAGCAGAGTTCATTCAGAGCTAGGGTCTGCCTGGCTGAGCCAGGACTCTCTCCATTTTAATAGTTTAATAAAAATTAGCATAATTAACGAACATCTGTATGATCCAGAGTGGTGCAATTTGGCACTTGGAAACGAGGGCTTAAACATGATTGCTGTGAGTTTAATGTTGTTTTAATTCTTTTTGGCACTGTGCAGTGAAATAAACGTTTGGTGGTGATAGTTCTCGGCCGGATCTCATTTGCATTTTTCTCCCTTTGATTATGAGCAATTGTGGACTCCCCAGCAATTCATCAAAGTAGAAATTATTTTAAAATACCTCGTGGTGTTCAGACTGGGCTGGAGCAGAGCATGGGGGCGGGGGGCAGTGAAAGAGAAGGCTAGAAATGTTCCATTCATGCTTCAAACATCTCAGCCCTGCAGCCCTTCTCGGGTATCCAGCCAAGGAATGAAATCTGGAAGATACAGTCAGACCTCAGGACCTGTAGGTGCTTTGATTAAGCTCCGAGGCTCCCACAGCAGGATACATATGGTCTCTGAGACGATGCCTTCCTCCTCACACTTCCGCCTGCGTTTTTGTTTTGAAGGGCAGAGAGTTGATTTCACTCATTTCAGTTCTCACCACTGCGGTGAGGCTGCCACATCTGTGATCAACAGGGTCAGTGTTCCCCTCGAGCAAGAGCACAGTGACTGGGAGCCTCCTCTGGCAGGTGTCAGGCTGTGCCTCATCTGCTTCCTGTTTGCACCCTCTTCGAGTTGACGGTGCACCTTCCCAAGGCCTGGTCCTACTCCTGGCATTCGGCTAAAGGGCGATGTCTGAGTCGGGAGTCGGGAATAGTCCCTATGGAGAGAAAGTCCTCTCTGAGGCCCTCGGGTGATGAAGATGACAGCATCTGGTAGGTAGAAGGCCACTCTTCACACATGTTGAAGCAAGCTGGCTGTGATCAGAAGACTGCCAGACATCATGCCCTCCCCACCTGTGAGATAACAGAAGAACTAAAGCTAGAATTTTTATGAGTTCCAATGAGAGAAGACAACAGAGGATGTGTTTGCCCTTTGCAACAAGGCCCCGTAGACATGGCCATTGCAGTGACATGCTAACACAAGACAATACTGCAAGAAAACTTATGGCAGAAACTGCCCTAAGTGTTGGGAGGTGGACTGGAACATAACTTGTACCAATAGGAACTTTAAAATGTGCTAACAGCACAGGCTAAGGAATTCTGGGTAATTTCCCATAAGGCAGTGCAGACTTGTAGGGGAGTTGGTGGGGGGGGGTGATAAGGTCTGGTGGGGAGAGGCAGTAGACACATTCATTTATTTCAGACGGATTTTTAAAGATAATTCTCTGTTCCTTTTAGGGCCAACTCAAAGGTCTCACTTCCTATGCCATTTGAGTCTGTCTTCATGGTACTTAGGGAGCCATTTGGGGAAAATGTCTCCAAAGGCAGTTGCTCTCTTCCTGCCACAACCAGTTCAATCACCAGGAGAATATTTTGCAGTTAGTTGTAACTAAATCTGCTCAACTGAGAGAACAAATCCCCACTGCTCCCTTCATTTCTTCATAACCTCATTGAACAAGTGGGTTTTTTTGGCCCCATTCTGTGCTGGGTACCACACTGAGTGCTGGGAATACAATAGCAAACAAAACCAAGGTCCCAGCTCTCACAAAACTCTTCACCTAGTGACTGGCACTGAGGCAAAAGCAGACCCATAACAAGACAGTGTGATGAGCTCATTTCCAGGGAAGCGTAGGCCACAGCCCTGTGGACCACATAGTCAGAGGGCCCCCACGCAGTCAGAGAGTGGCAAGGAGAGGTTTCTAGAGAATCTAGAAAGACTCAGGAATGGAGATCTGAGAGCTGCTTAGGCGTGAGCCCATGAGAGGGAGGAGGGAAGTAGAAGCTAACCGGCAGAGGAAAGGCTCCAAGATGAGAGAGGGTGTAGCCATGGGAGCAGCTGAGACAAGTTCTGTTTGACTAAGGGTCCACTAGACCTAGGGTGTGAGTGAAAGTTCTAGGCAGTGGTCAGGAACAGGTCATGCAGGGCCTTGTCCACCTTGTGAAGAAGTTGGCAATAAATAGGCAGTGGGAACCCACGGAAAGGTTTTGAGCAGGGCAGTGACATTTCAGAAGGATTCTGGCTGCAGAATGAAGACTAGATTGGAGGAGAATGAGACTGAAGATACAGACACCAATTTGGAGGTTATTTCTATAGTCCTCCTGAGAGACGACTGTGACATGGCTCTAGAATATTGTCAATGGGCATGGAGAGAAGTGGGTGGATCCCAGGAACATTTTGGAAAGAGAACTGACAGGACTCAAGGGCTGATTGGAAAAGGAGGGTGAAATTGGAAATGACTCTCAGGTTCCTGGCTTGAATAACTGAGTTCATAGTGGTGCCATGTCCTGAGATAGAAGAAACAGGAGGGATAGAAAGTTTGGGGGTGGGAATGGAAATAGAGGCAGGGTGGTGGGTTAAATTTAGGATATATTGAGTGTGAGCAGCTTGGCATACACGTGGGTACTGGGAATCCATCATTTAGATCTGTGCTGGAGCTATGGTTGTGAGTCATTTGCACAGATATTAGGAGCTAAACCACAGAGGTACTGTATTTGCCAGCGTATAAGACGATTTTTTGGCCCTGAAAAATATGCCTCCAAGTGGGGGGTCGTCTTATACGCCAGGTACACTTCAGATAGACTGCCCATAGTGCTTGCCCCGTGCCATAGTGGCCTCCCGATGCCCGCCCACTTCATTCCACATACCGTTCAGGCATCAGCAGCGCTGCTGGGTGTATGCTCGGCTGTTATGCGATTTT